GAGATCCCACAATATGGTTGGCTCCTCTTTCTTCCATCCCTGAATCTGCCATGTGGCGCCGAGGAACTCTGCCAAATTTATAATATCTTCTTTTCCTCAAAACTCTATTTTTTTACCCTCTTTGACTTCGTCTCCAATGTCTTTGTTCTCCATTGGAAACTCCCCATGTGAAGCCCTCATAGGGATTGCGTTCATCCGATTGACTTCTCCTTTGTAGCTTTTTTACTTTTTTTTCTCGCTGTGAGACCACTCTCATAAATGAGCTCGCAAAGCTTTCTTCCATAGTGAAAGAAAAAAAATTTTTTTTTAGGATGTGTAGAAAAAGTGAAATGGGGCAAGGGATGATGTTAAATTCAGAAGAACTGGAACAATCCGTTTGAAGTCGATGGCGAACAGTGAGGCGATCGCATTGAATTCGTCTCTTCGGGGCACTGTAACAGTAGCCTCGCTGGTGAATTATTCTTCCTAAAGCTAAATCCATCAAATACCACGACCGATCGGATTTAATAAATCCAAATTTACGTTGAAATGGAGAAGAAAATTGGATTTAGCGGAATGACGGATTTGACTTCCCTTTTTTCCATATTTGGCTGGATTTTCGTTATATCTAGCCATAGATTCTATTAAAAGCATGCTACCAAATAGCCCTTTAGTATGGACAATTAGGGAACAATTCTCCTTGATTCGAGTAAGCATATTCCTCTCTCATTTTTATATTGTACAGTCTATTATTGGGGATTTGGGGCCAAGCAAATCTGATTTTTTTTTTCTTGGAAAAGTTTTACACAAAGCTAATATTTTATTATGCTCGGCTTTCAGTTTACATTGGCTTGCATTAAAAATGGGAGACCGGGGATGGCTGAGAGGGCTGTGATGCTTGCTGAAAAAAGGATATCGAATGATAAATGGCCAGAATATTATGACACTCACACAGGTAGGTTTATTGGTAAGCAAGCAAGGCTGTATCAGACATGGACTATAGCTGGATACCTTACGTCCAAGATGCTTTTGGATAACCCCGAGTTGGCAACTATCTTGACCTGTGATGAGGATCTAGAGCTTCTTGAGTTCTGTATCTGTGGGCAAAGAAAAAGCTCTCGAACTAAATGCTCGCGGCTTGCTGCAAGATCTCAGGTCCTTGTTTAATTAGTTTCCCAAGCCCATTGAAACCCATACATGGCTTTCATAGAAAGTTGAGCCAGGCATACCATACACTTGAAAAGAATGGGCAGGTATTCTTTTGTCACATACAGAATAAATAGTTTTTGCTCCATCTTTGTTCGAAATGTATCTACACCATGTTCATATTTAGTTACCATTATTTATGGGAATCAGTGATAATAAATATGACATCTGTATCAGCAAGCTATTTGTTTTTGTCCCAAAAGTAATTCTATTACACGCATGTAATCATATAAATTATAAACGCATACACAATACATATTTTTTAGTGCATTATACAATTTTCAAGTTTTTTGAAGCACGCGACTTTAATATGGTTTGGAATAAACACAGTAGCTGTTTTGCATGAGTTACACAGAGACGATTTCCTCTAAGGCCTAATGAAACATTCTGCTATCTTCCAAGTCTCTTCTGCATAGCAGGTGATGCCTGTCCTTTCATTGTAGTAATTTTCTTTTGTGGATATCTGGTTTTTGTTACTCTTTCCTCTCTTCTTTGTGCAGCTACACACAGTGCTTAAATCACTCTCACCTGATGCTTCCAATGATTCACCAATTTTATCCTGTCCTCTTATAAGAGCTTGGAAAAATAGGAGAAGAGATGCCATGTCTGATTTGACTCTCAGCTGCTGCATTCTTCTGTCTTTATATTCACAATAAATGCTTTCTATATTCATTGCAGGTAAAGAGTATGGTTAGTTGGTTTATCATTGCAACAGAAGTTTGGGTGCATCACGCAAATTGTCTCAGGTTCATGAAAAAATTATGATTTATGCTTTTCTTCAAGTATGAAAAATAATTGGTGATGTCTAAAGGATATAAATAAAGCTAGATATAGTCAATAGTTGTTTACCCACCATGCCAACATGTTAATTTTGAGGTGAAGTAAGCTGCACATAACAAATTGGTTGTTCCTTTTGATTGCACTTGCTTAACGAATAATTTAGTAAGATTATTTCTTTTGATAACAATTAATTTTCATCTTAATGAATACATATAAGCAATCTCTGCCCAACTAATATTTTCTTGTGTTGGAAAATGTTTTGGGCTAGCAATAATATGAACGAGGACTGAGAAAAAACAAAACTAGCAAAGAAGACAGAAAAAAAAAGCATTTTAATTCCTCAAAAAACCAGTTACAGAACCTACTAATAATAATTAAAAAAAAAGTACAGAATGCTCACCCCCAAGGTTCCACTCCCAAGCTACAACTCCACGTGAAAAAGAAGCTCCAAAAATAACATGTATACCCATCCAAGAAATGCTCCAAAACATAAAATTGTATACCCGTTTAGCCTCCAAAAAAGTAAGCAAAATCCAGAAATTAGTGGCTTTAACTCTAGGTACGGAATGTCAAGTGAATCTCCATGCAGCAGAATCTTAATTGAAAGAGGAAATGTCTCCTCAATCGCCACCTTTTGCAATCCAATCAGCAAAAGGTATAAAGCTAATTGGATTATGCCTTTTTGCATTCCAATTGGCGGCTCTATTTCCTTCCCTAGGTATAAAGCTACACACAACATACAATTTACCAACAAGACAAAAGATACGATTAATTTGCAACAAAATGAACCAAGGGGGATGTCTAACTCCTTAAGAATATTAGTTAGCTCCAATGAATCTAACTCCATGCGTATATAAAACATTTTAAATGTGGCAGCCAATTTGACCGCCAATAATACAACCCAAACTTCTGCTTCCAACGCACTGTTTGCTATATAGGGAGAATGAAAAATACATATGCATTTATCTGTGAATTCCCGGAATACCCCTCCAGTTCCAGCTTTGCCTTTAGACCAACCATCATCCGTATTTACCTTGATTCAAGGGCTGTTGGGTTTCCTCCATATAACATGTTGAATCCTACTTATAATATTTTGCTTATCTGCTTCCTGGTATTGTTCCTGTAAATAATTAATACTAGCCAAAAAAACATAATAAACCATAGCATAACTGATAATTTGATGTATAAATGCTACAACATTGGCCACCACTATCCTCTTTCACCCTCACATTATCATGTTTATATGAGTTGTGAGCCATCCAGATAAACCATAAGACTATATAAGGAACTTACTTAGTGATATGATTAGCATCATGCCCCACGTTCCAATTGGTTGTGCACTGCTGCATAATGCTCCAGCCACTGTCTGTTATTAGCAAGCCCGATTTCCTTCCAACTGCGTTCTAGATATGCATAGTATAGGTACAAGTAATTAATAGATGTTTGACTGTTTCCTCATCACACCTACAGAACACACATTGAGAAGGCAACCTTAATCCTTTTAGTTTAAGTATATCATCGGTGGGTAGCAAACCATTATATGCTTCTCCAAATAAAAAAGGACATTGAAGGAGAAAAATTTACACCACACTTTATTTGCCCATGTAACAATGCTCCAGTGACGCAGTTTTAGATAGATAGCTTTTATGAGAGATTGTAGAAAAGAATTTAGCAAGCAATTTATCCTTTTGAGACCTACAAAAAAGAATCTTGGAGATTGAGCAAGCAAACTCCTTCCTCACCAGACTATCAAGAACATCAATTTTCAGGTGCCTTGCCAACAATCCACCACTTTAACTTCACCATAAAACTCATTGTAAAAGTTAGTAAAATCTTCCATACACCATGTATCCTTCCTAAAGGAGATATTGCCTTCTTCAAGATTACAGAGTATATCGCTTTCAACACAATTTCTTACTTTAAGCATTCCTTCCCAATTCCCCATTTTTATAAACCACTTGAGTAGGGTGCAATCCCCTACAACACATTGCATGCATGTACATAACCCAAATGGAATTCAAATTTCTGAAGTTCAGCCACCGCTTAATGTTGTTTATTTCTGCAATATGTTATTAATCTCTAAAGCCAAGGCCACATGCATATTGTGGCTTACAAAGTTCTTTCCACACATCACACACTCTTTTCTTTTTGTCACCAGCACATAAGAACTTATTGAATAATCTTTATAGCATTAATTATGTGCTAGCATTTAAACGAACAACTTAGAGCACATAAAGAGGAATAGTGCTCAAAACACTTTTAAGCAAAGTGAGTCCTCCCCCAAAGGATAGAAATGAATTGGTCCACTCCCCAATTCTATTTTAAATTTTACATACAATGACATCAAATTGTATTTGCTTCCTTCTACCAATCAACAAGATTACCCCCAGTTATTTAAGAGGCAATTCAGTCACTGAAAGGCCGGTATAATTGTTAACCCAGCTTTTCACCGTCAATCCCATATGCTTACCAAAAAAGATTTGACATTTATTTAGGTTGAAGGACATATTTGATGCCTTCTGAAAATTTAACAGGAGTTTATAGACCTTTTTCATTACATAATGGCTTGCATTAGTGAATAGGATAGTATCATCCGCATAAACAAGGTGACTTATCAACATTTTGGCTTTGTGATGATATTGCATTAGTGAATATGATAGTATCATCTGCATAAACAAGATGATTTATCAACATTTTGGCTTTGTGATGATATTGTGTCTCCCGACCCTTTGCAAATTATTAACCATTCTAAAAAATAATCATAAAACAGACCGAAAATAGTTGGAGAGAGTGAATCACCTTTTTTTAATACCTCTATCAGATGTAAAAAGCCACGAGGCTCTCCATTATAAGAACAAAATAGTGATGGCCGTACATCCATCTTTTAATAAGATTGCAGATGGTTTTATGGAAACCTATTCCCTTCAACACCTCCATTATGAAATTCCAACTAAATGAATCATATGCTTTTTTAAGATCTAGTTTGATAATTAAGTTTTCACTTCTGTATTTTCTATCCAAGTCATACATTAGTACTGGACCCAATAAAATATTATCAATGATATTAATGCAAATTGGCTCAATTTAATCAGAGTGGAAAGGTGGGGTTGCAATTTGTCTAGCAAGATCTTACTAATTACCTTGGAGATCACTATAGTGAGACAGCTGGGCCTAAAGTATTTTGGGCACAAGAATAATAGTCGACACATCTCCTCCCCCAGAAAAAAGCTCCATACAACAGCAATGACATCAATTTTGATATTATCACAACAAACCTTACAAAATTTAATAGTGAAGCTATCAGACCCTGTTGTTTTATTATTCTCAATTGAGTTTATAGCCTCCCAGATTTCAGTCTCATTCTGTGGCCCGGTAAGATTGAGAGTACTAGTGAATTGAACTTGGTCTTGTAGAAGATTTAAACATAGTGGATGTGTAACCCCTCTTTTACCACGAAGATTTTAAAAAATTCCACTCCACTTTTACATCTCTCTTCTTGTGTAGTTAACCAAACCCTTCCTTCCTTGTGAATTCTCACAATTGTGTTGACGCTCCTCTTATTTTTAACGCACGCATGAAGTATTGTGAAAAATTTTCCTCCTCCAAAAATGCACTTTACTTGCTTTCTGCTTAAGGAAATGCTCTTCACGTTTCATAGCTCTTAGCAAATTATTGTGTGCCTTAATTAATTCATCCCTAACCTGATTATCCTCCATGTCAATTTCTTCCAACCTTCTAACTTCTTCAACCTTTATAACCCTATTTGGTAGATCCCCAAAAACCTCTCAATTGCTAGTTTTGAGTGCTTTAGCAATATTTTTATGCATTCTCCATAAATCAAACCATCCATTACCAGTTACATAAGTCCCCTAGCTTCTTTTTACATAGTGTATTAAATCCTGATGATTGGTCGATTGACGTCAATGTTTGATGTCACGAGTGTAGGGTGTCCGCCCACATGGCTTAGTGTAGTCTACGGTCAGTCCGTAGCATTCGGTAGCTCAAGACACCCACCTGGGACCTTCTAGCACTTGTTCGGGGGTAAGTAGCTAGTTTTGGTGGCAATTCAAACAATGGAAAATTCCCTTTGGGAGGCCCATTTGGGATGTGAGGCGTGGTTGGTACCTAATTTGGGGAAGGCAACTCTGACAAACTTTGGCCAACTCCAGATAACTCTCCAGTGAGGAGGGCTGTTTCACTCTTTAGGGATGACTTGCGGACTTCTTACCACCTTCTATAAGAGCTTCTTTCCGAACTCCAGTGGACATCGTGCAAACATCGAGGTGGTGAGTTACTTTTCATAGCTAGCCCTAGGTTTTAGTTGTGGTAGGCGTGTATGTTCGATCGCCCGCCCGGAATGCGTGCGCCGGCGTGAGCCAGCGCAGCCACTTGCCCACATTATGTATCGTTGGATTTCTAGAGTGAGCCTTTAGGGAAGGGTTTTCCATGCATGACCAATCCCCCTACGAAAGTCTAGTGAATCCCCTTTGTTGTGAACCCTAGCATAAACCCAATTTGGTTGGATTCCCTTACTCCCTTTGCTTTGGATGACCCAATTTCCCTGGAAATTGGGAGGTTGGACTTGACAAAGTGAGAAAAGCTTTATAGCAAGCTCACTTTGTAAAACTTTGGAGGTGTTCTGAAATTGGGAAAAGCTTTGTACTTAGCCCAACCTCACGACGACATGGAGAATCCCCCCACCCCCTTTTGAAAATCCAGGGAGAACTTCCCCACATATCTTACCAAAGCAAGAGACGACGATGTCGCACATTTAAGTGCTAACCCTAGCTTTTCCAAGAGAGGTCGTTAGTACAAGTATGGCGTCGGCTATTTTTTTTTAAATAAGATTTTTTTTTTTAAATTTAAATTTAGTATAATATATAATGTAGTTTTAATTTTGTGAAAATTGTATTTTTATTATTTTTGAAAAGTGATGAGACCAGTTAGACCTCATATATCTAATAGTTTAAATAGCTGAGCACGATACCATAAATGATATATCATCTCAAAGGATGAATGCATCACTTGTTGGTAGGCTTAACTATCTAAACTTAAAAGCTTATGACTCTATTTTGGCCTGTGAATTTATAGCCGACAAGTTCCCCTATCTAATACAAAGATTAGAGAGGGTTTAAATTAACCTGGGTTCTTAATTCCCTATAGAGGCAAACCCCTATAGTTAATTACATCTTAGACAATCGAAGTCACCTAAATTCACAATAGGCTTGGACTGCTGAATATAATAGTTCCAAGTTGCTCTATCTCGAGTCACTTCACTCAAATGATTTGTAGGCAATAAACGAGCAGAACTAAAATAATGCCATGCCTTTGCAGTGACATCCAACTTTGAAGTAGAAAAGTTTACCCTTCTTTCATTTGTAATCTTCCATAATCCTCTCCAAACAATCAAAGATGAAATAATCTCGTCTAGGTCCTCCTCAGTAGGATTATAGTTTGAATAAAAGCATAACATACTCGGGGGCAATTTATAAAATTGATTAATTACCTTAGGAGAAAATGATACTGTCTTCCCCCTCACTATGGCTCCTTCTTCATCAGCCTCAGAGAGATTAGCATAGAACTCTTGTATCTCTGAAATCACAACGACAGTAGAAAATAACAGAATCGCTCCCACCGGCGACTAACTATCAACTCTTCAGCAGCTCCTCCCGGATTTTGAAAACATCGCTCAGGAATTAATTTTCTCAAATGCAGTGCATCGCTATACCGATCCCGAGCTCTCGAACTAACAAATTTACTTGAATCAAACAGAGCTTTTCCCATGCTTCTCTTCATTCTTGGTGCTATTTTCTAAAAAAATGTATAAAATTCAAAATAAATTCGACAATCATCTCCAAATCACTAAAGTCAACTCGTAAAAGCTTAAAATAACAAATCCATGCATTTTCCAACAATTTTTCCAAAATTTTCATCATGAATAGTGATTTTTGGGTAGCTCATGAATGTGCTCAAAAGACATGGTGAAAATAAAAAATTTTTGCATAGAAGTGAAGCTCTTACCTCAAGAAGATCAAATCTAAGAAATTTGGCTTGAATCCTCCAAGAAATCTTTAAAATAGGTGATGCCCTAGCCTAGAAATCGCAAAAAATCGAGGAAGAAGGCGAGCTAAGGTGCATTTATGGAGCTTTTCATACCAAAAATTTACATAAAACCATTAACGAACCAATTTTCATGAACCGACGCTTAAGCACGAATGGTTCAGCACTCTGTCACTAGTCTATC